GTTTTGTTTTCAGGGGACACTTGAAGTTACAAAGCCGCTGGATGGGATCATGCAGTTGACATAGGTCATCCAGTCGTCACTGATACAAAAACTACTTCCTGGACCCTATGAAAACATGCCTCCACAGCATCAGAGTACGCCCAAGCCCTTTTCTCTACACTAGTCTGTAGTTTAGCATGTGAACACAGGAGGGCACCCCAAAACAACAATTGGCCTTATAAAGTGAAACAATTTTTACACACTGTGTTCAGTATTAGCAATTTCAGCAAACGTCCTCTATGGTAGCAATATGGTATATGAGTAATTCAGAAAAATATAAACATATACATATTATATAAATAAAAGCATGTATAACTATATGATTTAGGGATGGGATTTATCATTATAAAAACTATGATGTTATTTTTCGCTTATTAAGGATTTAGAAAGCGTGTTTCTTTGGGACTAAGAGGACAATTCCTTCATTATCAGAAAACATGAATTCAAAATAAGAAATTTTTTTCTAATTTAGCTCCAGACTACATCATCATTACTCTAGCTAGTGATACTTCTATTAGAGTCCACCAGGTGGCAGAAGACCATCAAATCATCTCAAAAGTAAGCTGCTCACATAAACTGTCATTGGAGGAACAGAATCGCCTCAGTCTTGCTTATAAAGATTCCCAAGACCATTTTTAGAAGGTTGAAAGTGATTCTGGACAACAGCATTTTGTAAATTTTGTCCTCAAAAAGTCAATCTCAGTTTTTATAGAGAGTGGGAATGATTTGAAGTGAACTATTCTCTGTCCCTCCCTCCCCCCGCCAATGAAACTACCTTAAAATGCACTAAAAGCTTTATGCATGCACACAAAACATAAAAATCACTGGAGAAAAACGTAAAATTATTAGCTGCAAAATGCCCAAAAGACTACTGCCTAAATAGCACAAGCTTCTTTGGTCAGAGGTCTATGTTTATCTTGACTTAATAGTAGAAATCACAGATGCTTCATATTTTCAGAATTACCAGGAATATAAAATAGGATTCTAACAAGAATGTTATATTTGTCCTCAGGTTTCCATTGCTTTGTTTTCTTCTTTATATTCCTATAAGATCTTATTGGTAATTTTTTAAATAGTTTAAACATATTTTAATCAGAAATGTATTTTAAAAACAGGCCTTTTGTTTACTGATAATCAATAACTCAGAAATAGGCTATACATCTGCAGCTAAATCTTGTCTTTTAGACCCTGAAATACAGGATTTTATGGGGAAAAGATATAGATTTTAGAATGTATTCAAAAGATAAGCCTATACTTCTGTATGGAGTCTACGATCTTGTCAGAGGGTCACCCTTCTGTAAGGTAGAAATGGATCTTTGAAATAACAATCTAGGTAATTCTATAGACATACAGTACTCGGTGTTCAAACATAAAGCTGGGTAATTGCCATGGAATAAGTTATTAATGTGCACTAATATTTCCAGGTTTTCTTTGTTTCTTACAGACATTAGTTTCATTATTTATTAGAAGGACTGATACTCTATAAAGCACATTATCTGGATTTAAAGTAAAGAAGAGTTTTCCAGATCAACGTGTACTCCAACACCAAATACAAACTACTAATTGATATAATACACTGGTAACAAAAATGTCATTCCCTTGATTATGGGGAGTTCAGAACTACGTTGATGTCCCACCCCCCCAAAATTTCCTTTGTCAGGACTGAATTTCACTCCCGGATTCCTTCCCACAAGCTATTGGGTCGCCGGGAAAGTCGTGATGCATTGTTGCATTGAAAAACATAGAAAAAAAATACGTCATGACTTTCCCAACGGCCCAATACGTGTGATGTGGGTCATAGTCACTGATTCTTCCTGGAACCCTGGCCAAGGCTCAGAATCTGACGTCTGCCAGTCTGTGACTATGAGCCCGGCCATGACAAGCCTGTGGCTCATGTTCAAGTGACAGCGAGGACAAGAGTGTGCCTCGGTGCAGATGCAAAGGACAAGTGTGTGCCTCGGTGCAGATGCAAATTCCCCACACGTGAGGAATGAGGATGTGGTCTCATTTTTCAGGGTGTACTAACTGTTCTTACTTAAAACTTATTTTCAACCTTCAATCCTCAACTACTTGGTTCCAGCCACTCTTGACATACAGATAAAGATGGTGCTGCCCCTGCCGTTAGGAAGCTCCCCTTATATTTAGTAAGCTATAGAATATCATGAGTTTCTAAGTCCTAGAATCCATTTACAGAGGAATGCAAAATAAACTTGTAAAGGATTTGCCATTTAGACGAAATTAGGTCGTGTTTTTCAAATGATACATTTACCCCACAATAAACCATGAAAGCTTCACAAACTTTTAAAAGCCGACATGAAGTCATTTATCCTCTCATCCCTAGTATAAACTTATATGAAGAGTGAATACAAAAAGATTAATAAGCAAAGTACTGGGTGTCAAAATGTGGAAAAAGAAAATGAAAAAACAAACCAGAAAAGAAGCAGTACAAATGAGAAGAGCATGACAGTTCTTTGGCTGGGACACGTCTCTCGGCTAATCATGTAAGTTGATGGCCAGGGGCAGATACGGGTGTCCTCTGCCTTTTCTCTTTCATGCACCCACCGTGGCAGAAGGGCAGTCTGCCCAGAGGGAAAAGGCCCAGCCCTAGCTCCACGGATTAGGGGTAACCATGTGGGTGGAGGTGAAAAGACAGTGGTGATTCTTGAGCAGTGGCAGGTCCCTAAGATATCACTCAGTTGTATCCAGTTACTTTCCACTGGCTTGAAGCCTGGCGCAGTTTAACACAACTCACGACAAAAGTACCTGTGAACGCACACTGATAAATCCGCCACATCCTTGTTTGTGGTTTATGAGCCTCATTTAAAAGAATACTAAGACAGGAACTTTAAACCACTATTGTGACAGGAGTTTAAAGATTTATAGGCTCAGAAGACAACCAATACTAAGGCTGTGATTNCATTTCCATTAGAAACTTATAAAAATTTCAGTCAGAAGCCTCATGATAGGGATGACCAAAGAATATTTACATTTATGTATGTATATATGTATGATTGCATGTTTATAAATGATATATATATATAGAGAGACATGTACATATATACATACATATATAATTCCATTCTATTGAAAACTGCTTATACCAACAAAAGGAAGACTTTAATTTAATTAGGTAAATTTATAAATTGTCAAATCATGACAGTTAGCCCTTCATTCAATTATTGCATATGCTTTGAGATCAAAAGATTTTCCCATAATACTCAGAGAAGATGCATGCAAATAAAATACAATTAGGAACAACTTTTTTGTTTTGCTTTTATGACATAGCACTGGCAAATCAGCTAAAAGGAAAGCACTTCCACTCTTCAACCAAATTTCAAAAAATGGATAAAAGTATCTATGACAAACTGTTGGGATGCTTTGTATAGGTATTTTAAAGTACCTCACATGATCCTAGGATCACGAATATACTTACTACAAAATGCTTTGGGGGCTGAAAAAGGAAATAAACATACATGAAACCAAATCTTCCTTATCCAAAAGAAAGGTCTTCATGCTTACAGAGCTATCTCATTAAATGACCATTACAGACATAATAAAAGGTTTTACTGTTCTTAGTTTACAAGTACGAAATTTCGATATTCAGAATAAATTTACTGATTGTCCTGATGGATGAAAAATGGGCTCCGTGCTTCATAAAATTACCTTGTGACCCAGACTAAAAAGAAAATAATTTTGCCTTTTGGCCAAAAGAATATAACATCACAGAGAAAGCACCAAAGCATCCAGTGACTAAACTGGCCTCATTGATTTAGATAAGATAAGGCTTAACAGGTGGGCACTTACCAGGGTCGTCAGAAGGCATGTCGACAATCAGCTGGTCACTGTATTTGCCATACAAGCCATTAGTGCATATGGCTACTATTTGCAGAACATAACTCATATTGGGTAGTAAATTACTGAGAATAGCACCCTAAAAGAAAGATATCAGTAATTACACAAACGTGTTATTCTCGAGGACTACTCACATACTAGACATTTGTCCTTAAAAAACTTATTCTCATTTGTCAACGGAAAATATTTATATTTTATTAACTTAAGAAAAAGTTTATGTGAAGTTAAGTTGAAAGACCTACTGAAAAAAATGGGTATTTTTTTTCTTTTTGAAAACCAGATTTAGTTTTAGAAAGTTTCATTTCTTAACTAGAACTCATAAAATTCATAAAAGTGTGTCCCAAACTACAGATTAATATTGTATACAAATAAACATGCAGCATTTGCAAAAGGCAAAATGTAAATACACAATTAAAACCAATGTATTTCTTTATCTTAACAATATATAAGCCAGACAGTAACAGTATTATCTTCACATCATTCTGAAATGAAAAATAATACATTCCCAAAAATCCCACAACCTTCCCAGTTCATAATCTGTTCTAGTCAACTGAATTAAAAAGTTGGTACAAATCTTATCTATGTTGTCCATATGATATTCAACACCATGATAACAAGGGCAATTTTGTTTAAAGGCAGGTTCCTAGGGCATTCAGCTCTAGCTGTCTGACCTTCCTAGAGCCACACCCAGCTGAGGTTTTCTCAACTAAACCCCAACTTGTGGGCAACACTTCCCTACCATGGCCAAGTTGAATACTGAGATGCTCAGGTCACAGAAGGCTCTCTACCTTATTTTCTTTAGTTTGTGTGATGGATGGAGGGGAAGGGCAGGTGGGTCTTTCCTGGGGATTACCTGCCTTGTGTCCTGAAACTTCTGTCTCAATTGACTTCACATGTGCTACTTGCAAATTTGATAGAAAAAAGGATTTTTCAGACCCCTACTCTATTTTTCTTGGGCTGGTATAGTATGATGGGGGAAATAACACATTGATGGCATCAGAGCATTGAGATGCCAGGCTCAATTCTTTCCACAACTGTTGAGATCACAGTCAAGAAACTGAAGTGTTCTTTGAGTCCTTTTATTTGTAAAGAGAAGCCACACTAGACGATCTCTAGTTCCTGACTTCTATACTTGTCTACGCTATAATGCTGTCATTGGCAAAGGCGTGGTCTCCCTGTCATTCAAAACATAAATCAGAACCTAGAGTAATTCACTGTACGTTTTGTCACAATTTACCAGAACTTCTGCTTCCCCTCCTCCCCACTGAAGACCCTCATACAAAGTCGAGGGCAACTGTATACAATCACTTGTGAGATCTTACCTTGAAAGTTAAACTATCACATTATCAATACAAGAAACAATTGATCTTATAGTTACCAAATCTTGATAGCCATCTGTCAAAAATTCATGCTTGGTTTGGTCTTCTCCCTCTAACTGCTGGTACAGAACTGCAAACTTCTCAATCATGGTATCATAAACGACTCGAGGCCTCTCCCATGTAACCAGGAGGCTGGTATAATTCTCTGGGTCAGCTTGAACATTTTCTGGTTCTGAACTACAAACTTCAAAGAGAAAAACAACCAAACAATTATTGATACAACTGTCAGGCTCCAGGATTTTAACAAGTAAAACATGTTTTATGAAATTTTTGGTGGTATTTTATTTCAATAGAAGGTAAAAAGATACACTTACCTGCTGTAGAGCTTTTGCTTACATCATTTCCTTTATATGAAATGCTTCTTCCTTGTCCCTATTTCTATCTGTTCAAATCCCACCTTCCCATTCAGGAAATGGTCAAATGCTATCTCCTCTGCTATGCATGCTCTGATCTCTGCTGCAGTGACCTGTGTTATTTTCAAGTGTCTGATTTGTTTCACTACTATTATTGAATTAATTGCATATTCTCTTATATTATTGTTTT